AACCTTGCCCCCTCTCCGGCGATCGTTGTAAATGTGCAATGATGGTGGTTGTTATTTCTGGAACAACTTCAACAACAAACCCACAAAACCCCTTCACATGATTCAACCCAACAACAACTTCAACCCTAGCAGACCTCCATTGTTGCCCTTTGGAAGAGACAACAATGAGGGTCCCAAAAGACCCAAATCAAAGCAAGTCTCCTCTAGATGCATGTCCCCTTCTTCTTCAACCGCCTAGAAGATAACCCATCTCCTCTAGTTTCTAGAAATTTGACTCCTTTGTCGAATAAGCTCTCTTCGGCAATCTATTGATTTCAAAAAAAAAAAAAAATCTGAAAAAATGTTTCCCTCCCATCTCTCCTTGACCAGCGGCTTTGAATTCGCCACTTGATCTCTACCTCTAGAAGGAGTACTAGGCCTTTTTCGTTCCGGCATACCCTTCCTCACATTGCTCAAATTCAGCTTCGAGTTCTCCACCTTAGTCTTGTTAATCAACAGTGAAAACGCTTCCCCTTGAAACGAAACCGACAAGCTCTGAGTAGAAGTCACCAAAAGCTTCGTCACCACCGATACTTCACCGGCCAACCTTCTCGATGGGAAGAAGAATAAGGAAGGTGAGTGGGTTTGCATAGCAGGGAACCTCGCTGCCGCAGAGTTGTCGTTGCCCTCCTACTCCTCCATTTCGCCTCTCTGATCTTGCTTTGATGGGTTAGGGTTTCTCAGAATGAGAGAAAAAGGAAAAGAGTGGGAAAAGAGAAAAGGAAAAAACAAATAATCCAAAACGTCGTCGTTTTGGCCACCGCTGCAGAGACCATTGCAGGCTACCATGGTAGAGGATCTACTTATTTTAATATGGAAGTTTGTGTCAGACTGTTTGGTGTAGCTTCTGTAGACTGTTTGGTGCAACTTCTGCTTAATTTTGTAAAGATATAGGAGATTATAGGTGGATTGAGAAACTAAAGGGAAAGGTAGCTTCTGTTTGGATAGATTTTAGGTTAAATGAATAGAAAAACAATGGAAGAAGATAAGTTGAAATAGAATATATATTTTAGTGGGATCCTTATAGTTAGATAGAGTACTCTTACCATGATTTCAAATAATTAGTTTTATATAGTTATTTCAAATCCATCATAATAAAGTTATAAAGCTATTTAACTAATCTTGAAAATCATAAGTAATTGAAGTATCTAATTTGAAATCTAATTTTGAGATTTTATCCTTGAATAATTAGGGTCAAATCTCTTGATTTGAAATAATGTACTGTAAATGTTTTATTAGGATCTTTGTACAACTATAGTCCTTAACATGAATGATATCAAATAATAACTACTTTTACATTATTATTTTAAATTCACCGTGATAAGCTCTCAAATTCAATCTTGAAATCCATATTTGAATAACCAATTCTAAATTTGGATCGTTGTTCTTGAATGAATTGTCAAATATTTTTACTTTAAATCCATTAATGCACACAATAAACCCAAGTCATTCAATTATTAGTAATCTTTGGTGCTCATATTTCAAACTGTGCAAGACTTTTCTATTAGAACCTTTGAAACTTTATAGAGAATCATTGTTCTATAATTTGACAAAAGCATGTTGTTTTGAAAATGTGATTATGAGAAAAGTTTTTGTGTTGACGGTGGGTGAATTATAAAATATTTAATAATGCAAATGGTTAAGGAACCAGTTTGTTGAGGAAATTCTACAACTCAACTCCGTTCAGTTGAATATTCGGAAAATGTTTCTTATAAAAAATGGATTATAGGAAATGAAAGGAGAAGAAAATAGAAATGATTTACCTTTCCATTAATTGTTGTGTTTAAATTTTATGTACAAATATTATTATTTTTTAAATTTCTCATGATACATACTCCCGTACTTTTTATTGAAAATGAATCAAGGGAAAATGTTTCTTTTAAGAAAACAGTTATAACGGGACTCACATTTTCATGCCATATACAACTGAACAAACGTAGAGGAAAGGAGGAGAATTTTCATTTCCTTTTTCCTTTTTCCTTTCCTCTCCCGTTGATGAAATGTTTAATTTTTTATTTTTTATTTTTAGATTTTGATGAAATGCTTACTAGTTTCCTACTTTAATTAACATTTTGCGGGCACGAGTCAATGTTCATCAAGGAAATTGTCCAAGAGGTAGGGAAAAAATTGAATCGCACGGTTTTGATGGTTACCCAATACCAGTGGGCATAGATTTCTGAGTCAAAAAAATTAATTTGTGGTTACAAGATACATCAACTGATGCCGACATAGGGGTCATATGTGGGATGGGGGGAATAGAGAAGACAATCATTGCCAAAACCGTTTGTAACTTGAACTTTGAAAGATTCAAATATAGCATTTTCCTTGCAAATATTAAAGAAGCTTCAAAACAACCAAATGGTTTGGTTCGATTACAAAGACAACTACTTCGGGATATTTTGAAGGGGAAGAAGCAAAAAAATTGCAGTGTTGACGAAGGGGTCATGAAGATTAAAGATGCTATATGCTGTAAAAAGGTTTTTGTTGTTCTAGATGATGTGGATCAATTGGATCAACTAAATGCAGTATTTGGGATGCGAGAGTGGCTTTACCCCGGAAGTAAAATTATCATAACAACTAGAAATGAGAGATTGCAAATGGCTTATGAAGTGTGTAAAATGTTCAAGGTTAATGAATTGGATAGTAAAGAATCACTTTAGCTCTTTTGCTGGCATGCTTTTGGGCAAGACCATCCAATTGAGGGCTACGCGGAGCACTCACGAAGTGTACTACAGCACTGTGGAGGGCTTCCTTTGGCTCTTCAAGTGTTGGGTTCCTCTCTCCGTGGCAGAAGTGTAAAGGTATGGGAAAGTGCATTGGTGAAATTGGAAGCAAATCCTGATAATCATATCATGGAAAAACTGGCTGTAAGCTATGAGTCTCTGCAAGATGATCTGGATAAGAAACTATTCCTCTATATTGCTTGTTTCTTTGTTGGGAAGGACAAGGAATGTGTGGTTAAAATACTAGTGTCATGACCTGAACCCACCCCTATGGGTTAGAACATAACCGGCCAGTAATCATGAGATTACCTACGGCCTCAGACCAAACAAAACGCATTTCAACAGAGTAAAGGGGTCAAAATGGAAGCAATTTAAAACTTTATCCATAGAGCTGTGCTTACATGGCATAACAAAATCATTGCAAAAGTATTCTATAATAACTCACACAAAGGAAGTTAACGTATGAGCTTTACACAACAAGATCATTCAGGTCATGGTCAACCAAACCAAAAGCTTATATACAAAGGTGCTCCAAAGTTCTCGTCAACATAACCAAAAATGTAACAAAAGAACAAAAGGGCGAAAACAAGTCTCATGCGTGAGACGTATGGGCTGACTCTTCAAAACTTGACTGTCTCTCACATACTTCACTGAGGCTGGGTTTGGACATCTTGTGGCTCACCTACAGACACATGAATGAGAGTGAGCGAAAGCCCAGTGAATAATATTAAGTAAAGAAGATACATGAACGAACTTTGAAACAGTTATATCAAACGACCTTGGGCCCAATTCATGTTTCTATCTAATATATCAAACGACTAGACGTATCAAACGGCCTCGGGCCCAATTTACTCATATCCGACGACCTTTGGCCCATTCATTCATATCCAACGGCCTTTAGCCCAATTGTTCATATCCGATGGCCTTTAGCCCAATCGTTTATATCAAACGGCCTTAGGCCCAATCATTCATGTCAAACGGCCTTTAGCTCGATCGTTCATATCAAACGGCCTTAGGCCCAATAATTCATGTTAAACGGCCTTTGGCCCAATCCATTCATGTCAAACGGCCTTTGGCCCAATTCATTCATGTCAAACAGCCTTAGGCCCAATCATTCATGTCATACGGCTTTTGGCCCAATCATTCGGTGTAACAAATATTCGTCTACAATTCAAATTAACAAGCTTACAAAACTTTTATAGGAATAAGCTATAGGACAAATAACATACTTCAAAGTATCTCTACTGAAATATTACTCACAGTGATCTACCGGATGGTTTGTCCTTGTGCTTAACCCTACACATTTCATGAACATAATGGGTCACAAATGATTCAATCCGTTCTTAATTCATACATTCCTCTTAGGCTTCTTTCTTACCCTTTTAATTCATTTACAATGCTTAATGTAGGCCTAAGAGTGCTTAGAAATGGAAGAGAACGGAAATTGAAACATAAATTATCTTTTCAAAATTTCTGAAACAGGGCTCCCCGCTCGAGCGTGGCTTTGGCCGCTCGAGCGGACCCCTTGGGTCTGCAAAAATACTGGTTGCCTCATTTTTACGCTCGAGCGTGAAGTCGGACGCTCGAGTTGAAAGTCACACTACATGGCTCCCCGCTCGAGCGTGAATGTCCCCGCTCGAGCGGACATGCCAAATTTTGGGTTTTCTAGAATTGTTCTTCAAGTTCAAAACTCACATTTTTTGGTACAAAACATGGAGAGGCACTACATAATATAAGAATACAACCAATGTGAGGCTAATTATTCAAAATCATAATCTAATCCTCAAATAGATCAACATTTCTCTTGCATGGTCCTAACTTATGCACTCAAGCTTCATACCAATTTCATGACTTCATCAATCATGCATGCATGTCAATTTTTGACTTCATTTCTATTTTAAATGGTGCAAATGGTGTTCAAAATCATGAAGCTACACAAAATTACTCATGCATGTAAAATTTGGTGCTCAATTCTTCATATTCAACATGCTTCATGCTTGAATGGGTATAACCATGGCAATTATGCACATGCATGCACATATAAGCTTTAAATTCAACAAATTCAATTCAAATTATGTTCTTGATCACAATCAAACTTTGAATTCATGAATTTACAAACTTAGGCTCATAAATCTTTGATTAATTACTCACCTAGGAGCTTCAATCCTCACAATTGTAGTTAAATCTTGAGTTGGTCTTCAAATTATTCAAGTTTCTTGCTCAAATCTTCAATTGCTTTCCCCTATCTCTCTCTCTAGCCGACCCTCTCTTTCTTTCCTTAGAGTAATCTCAGCCAAATTGAATAAAAAGAGAGGAGTTGAGTGAAAATGACCCCTTTTATAGGCTCTCTCTCAATCACATTTCATTATTACTAATTAATTGAGCACTATACCATCAATTTAATCTATTTAATTTGATTTGAATCAATTTTTAATTAAATTTCACCGTAGGCTCTAAAAAATATGCCAATCACAATGGCGTAATCAATTTCGGTTTCTATGGCCGATAAAACCTTCAATTTAAATTCTAAAGCAGAAAATCAAATTGATTTTCCTACGATGAACAGATAGAAATTCAAAACCATATATATTCATATAAACGACACTCAAAATCATACCAAGCATATAATCACATTCATAATTAAGGCTAATTAGCATAATACGGAACATGGTTATCACAAAAATGCTATCAATTGGACCAATTTGAGACAAAATAAAAAATTCAAGGTTAAAATCGATTCAATTGAAATTGTAAAATCTAAAATGAAATAATAGCCAAAATAGAGGGACTAATAGTGTAATTAACCCTAATTATTGGCATTTTTTATTGACAAATATGTATATAAATGACATGTCATTCTTTTAGAGGCAAAATAATAAATTTGTTTGGTGAGTTCACCTCAGCAAAAAAAAAAAATTATTTTATTTTTTTTCCAAATAAATAAATAAATAAAATAAAACATCAATAGTGAATAGGGCAGCCATCCATTTGAATACGATGAACCAACCAAACAGGGGGGATAGGGATAGGACCCGCCTACTAAATTGTCTCCCCCACAGAAGCATCTCTTAGCCACTATGTGAGCCACATTATTCAAAGCCCGACGGACAAAGCGAAAAAGGACTTTTGAGAAACCATGGCAGAGGTTCAGGATATCTTGCATCACCATGAATATAAAGAGTAAGTTGTGATTTATTATTATTGTATTTATATTGTGATTTTATATAATACCTTGTAAGTGTTTGTTTAAATGCTTAAGTGAGATTTTACATTATTTTGTTCTTTTTTTTTTTATTTTTTTAAAAAAAAAACCCTTTTTCTGTTTTTAAGCATGAATAAGATGACAAAATAATACTAATCTCTTTTCACATCATCAGTTGAAGAAAGATTCTAAAGTCCTATCTGTGTGTGTGGTTATTTATTTATTTATTTATATGTATATATTAGTAATCACGGTATTTCTAAAAGTCCCGATACTGTTATGGAAAATTGATTATATTATACCCTATCCCTTTTTTGTTTTTTTAATACCTAAAATGGCAGTCTCAAAATAGTTGATTTATAATCTAGTTATATTGATTCCAAAGTTAGTGATTCCAAATTGAGATCATCCCAAAACAGTTGATTACTGTCTGTTTTCATTTGTTTCCGTGTGAGGAATACTGTTTGTTAGAATTGTAAAATATCCTACAAGTCAATTATGTTTATTATAATTTTGTTGCTTGACTCCAATATTGATCTGTTCCAATTCTTTTTGTGGCTATTATCCTCTTCTTTACATTGAATGCCAAGCATTTCCTAATGCTGCATCTACGTTGGTGGAAAGAATGTTGATTAGTGTCTGTTTTCATGGCATGTAGATTTATGGGTCCACATAACATGCAAGACTATATACTACATGCCATGAATCTTTGGATAAGACAAGGGATACCTTACTAAATCTGTAATGTGAAATCATATACACACAATAAGAATCTGAACTCATTTCTTAGGTGTAGACAATATATCAAGAGTCAACAAAATAAAACACACAGAAAAACTGCAAATTACATAACATACCATGTTCAAAAGGGCTGCAAAAACGTGAACACAAACACCTCTATCCCATTTTGCTGTCATCCCTCCAGGTAGTTCCAGCAGCAAATGCTAAAACCTATATCAGTAAATTTCAGGGGGAGTCTCTTTTCTAATAATAAGTAAAAAGAAAAATACTTCCAACAGTAAACACAACTACTTTTAGAGGGAACCATTTTGAACCATATGGTCAAAACTGGTGTCAAAAGTGGAATCAAAAGTGATTCTACATAAGAACTATGGTAAAGGTTGTGGGTGGAACAGGGGAGGGTTTGGTAAAGTCTTTGAACCCGGCCCCATTAAGGTAATCACTAGGGAAAAAAAAGAGACTCGTATAATTATTAAACTATATATATAGAGAAAAAAAAAAAAAAATGGTCATTAACTTGAAATCAAAATGTAAGTACACCACAAAAAAAGTTTCAAAAAATATAATATTTGGACATAATCATATCTAGTTGAACTGAACTTTCTGTCTTTTTTTTTTTTTTTTTTAATAAATATTGTGCCCCTTTCAAACTACACCATAATGATTCGTACATAACTCCAATTTTGTACAATGCTTTTGCCACATTCCCAAATTTCCACTACCATTTGAATTGCTATTAAAATAATAATATTGCATTGACTTTGTAATACTTAAATTCTTTCATATGTTTTCGCTTGACATGAGTTGCCTTATAGTTAGGCACCAATATATTGAATATGTTATGTTCTACATTGTTGTTAGTATCTTATAGTTCTTGCAAAATCAAGTTTAGTTGTTTTTGTCAATCATAACTTACAAATAATTGTTATTGATATATGCCTTCTAAGTGTTTCTTTAAATGCTTCATTGAGATTGGTGATATTGATAAATGGGTTGAGATGGTTTATATACTCGTTGAGATGGTATTTTTTGCAGTTTCCTCACCCCTGCATATATGAATGTTTTTTTTCTTAATTTTCACTTTAAAAGGCTTGCATAGTTACATTAAATTGATTGAAGCAAGGTAGAATATTATATGGTCAAAGGGCATCTTTCAATTTGATGTCATTCCACATGTCAGACCTTTACGTCCTCTAAGAAACCCAACCAGGTATGGCTAGCAAACCATTTAAAAAGGAATGTTCCAAGAACTTTTTCCCACAATAATTTGTTAAATTGCTATCCGATGAACTATCTTAAAATTGCAGAGTTGTTCTATTTTTGGCCTATGGATAGAGATAAATAATATTAATTAGTAAATGCATAATATTTTTATTATTATTATTTTGTTTACGAAAGGTAATGTTTTAAATAATCACTAGTCAGGTGGGATTATAGCATGTGGTATTGCAATTCTAAAATGAGGGTATTGCTTGATACAGTGGCTGTCAAAGATTCAAAATCCTTTTCAATTCTATTAGGTTAAATTCAATTAATTTGATACATGTGTATCAGGGGGTAAGAAGATATGAAACAATGAAACTGGAAATCTCTAACTTTGGCATCAGCATGCTAAGTTTATTCTCTCTACTCATGTTTCAAAAAAAATAAAAACACAAAAAAAATAAGCGTTTTTATCATTTCTATCAGATTAACCATTACATGCAACAAGTTGTTATGCTAAAAATTTGTAAAAATTGTTTTATGGAGAAGTATACATGAGTTGAAGGAATTAGTGCAACAAACTTCACATCTCTTCTACAGAAGACAATGGATAGTATACTTACTTTTTGGTGATATAATTAAGCATTTGACAATTTATTTATTTATCTATTTATTTTAGAGTAGAATGACATGCTAAAGAGCTGATGAAATTGGCATTGATTTAAATTGGACTGTCCTTGAACTAAAATGCCTTGGCACCAAGGCATCAAGTTACCAAAGTTGATTTATAAGGGTTAGACAATGCTTTCACTCGGTTCAACTTGATACTCACAATAATACTTGAAAAATCTAAAATTCCGGAGATATTGATTTGTGATTATGTATCAATTTTAATCAGTAAATATCAATCCTAATCAAACAATCAAAGACAAATTCATACAACGATTTTACGTGAAAAAACCACAATTGGAGCGCCTCCAATTGTGATTTAAAAAGAAAAAAACAATCACAGGCAAAAGCCACAAAACAATTCACTAAGAAGACACAAAGGAATTACACAAGTGAACTCTGAATTACATAGCGAATCCACGCCCGAATTGAACCAAACCCCTATATGCCTTTTCCACCATCGTCTTCACCTCAGAATTGTCTTGCCCAATGTTGAATCCACAACGTCGATGTCGAATCCACGACGATGAGCCAATCCGGAATCCACCAAAGCTTCAGGCTCAAGTTCCACAAAATTCACCGAAGAACAACTCTCTCTTTTGAATAAAACAAATTAAACAAACCCTTTGATATAATCCACTCAATTCATGATTAAACTCTCATAAATATCCAAGGAAACAAGAAAAGAAGATTCAGATGAAAACCCTAATAACCAAGAAGAAGATCTGGAAGCCGTAACCCTAAAATCTGATAAAACCGCAAAACTTCTGGGACCAAACTCCTCTGAAAACTTCTAGGACCAAACTCATAGCCTCACTGAAACAAAAGAACGAATAAAATTATAACTGGAAGGAGTTTTGTCAAACAGGATTGCCAATAACAAAAACCTAACAATACTTTTTCTATCTTTCACCTGTTTTTGCACAAATTCTTTTACATGTTTTCCCTTGACATGAGTTGCCTTATAGTCATGCACCAATAAAGCAAACCAAGACACAATAATGGATGCTATGGATGCTGAAAATTCAGGGCCAAGGTCCAAAGTTTCCCATGTTGAGCATGCTCCGAATAACTTGACAAACATATCTAACCAGGTAAATTTTTAAATAGAATTTATAAGTTATTAATGTTTTCCTACACACACACACACACACACACACACACACATATATATATATAAATACATATATCTATGTGTGTGTGTTTGTAAAATTAATTAGTTCAAATTTGGTTAGGTGACAACGACTTCTAGTCCTTTTGACATGGCAACAAGTATGGTCCTTGTCATCGATATAAGATGCCTCTCTTAATCAAGTACCCACTAAGAGCTAATCATATTTATCACATTACTTCTAGCTTTATTTTATAATAGCATGCAAAACTTGTCTTACAATTAACCAATGAATGAATATTGTGGACCTAAATTCCATTGTTTAAATCTAGACAAAATGTGCTACATAATAAAAATCATGACATAATGATGCTTGTGTTTTTTTTTTATTTTCATTTTCTTGTGAAGCTTCAACAAGACATCTCTAGATCATTTATTACTGCATGGACTCTTTTTTATTCCCTTGAAATCTTGCTTGAAAGTAATTAATTGATTGTCATTTTTTACAATTACATTTGATTTACATTGTTGAGTTTAGGGAATCCTGATATTGATAATGGGCATGGTTTTGATTGTTATTGATTGGTGCCTTTGGTTGTTATTGATTTTTTAAACTATTGTTTTATATGGTCTAAAGACTTACGGTTGTTACTTTTATATAATTTGTTGTAGTGTGGTGAACCAATTAAGTGATTACATCATGTGGCTTGCTTTATCTACTAGAGAAATGCATATCACTTGCAGTTGTGATCATCTTCACTCTAGCATTTTATACTAGTTTATTTTTTAAATATTATTTATTAATTGTAAATATATAATTACGTAAGTAGTTAAATCTTGATTTACAGGTGGGGGATATAGTTGTTCTAAAAAGTGTCATTATGCCAACAAAAACAGTTGCAATCGGAGTACTTAAAAGCACAGACCTATTTGACTATTGGGAGATACATGTTCAAGTGCCAGTCAAACCTAATGAGAGCTTGATCCGATCATATGGACTTATCAAAACAATTGGACAAGCTTTTGGAGCTCATGTTGCTTGGTCTGCTCCATTTGTGGTATATTTCTTTCGTAAATATTAATTTCATTAACAAATTTATATTAACTTAATATAGTTTCAATTACCTTTATATGTTTATCTTTTGGATGCAGATTTCGCAAGTTATGAATGCTAGCCGAGAATATTTATACATGTGAAATTTGTTTTGATAATTTGTCTCTCTGAAAGATGGATATCACTATGGCTTTTCATAACTTATGGTTGGAATAATTTTCTTTTAATTTTTTTTTTGCTTTAATTTTGTTAGTGTGGTAGAATATTTTATAATTTTGATTATGATTTTTATTGCAATACAAATAAATTTATATTTTTAGATAAAAAATTATTGTGGTTTGAATTTTTTTGTTTTGTTTTTGATGTGATAATTGTATGGTGGTAATATTTGTTTATTATTATGAAAATATTATAAGATGAAGAGATGTCAAATTAATATAGAATGTGACAATTAATATTTAATTTCTTATAAAATCGATTTAATTTTTACAGGCATTTACGCATACTTCATTGTGGCTTTTAAAAGTGTCAATGACAAGAACATATAAGTGACATTTTGTAGTAGTGGTAGTAATTTTGCAAAGTGTCACTAGAATAAGCTCAAATGGCACTTATATCCATTTAATGGCAGAAATGATTTGGATTTAGTGACATTTATGAAGTTGTTAAAAATATCAGTTGTGGCATAACAAGCGCCATTAAAAATTCATATAGTGACATTTTTTAGATTGCAAATCTTCTTTAATGGCATTTGATATCATCACAAATAGTGTCTACCCTGACATTAAAGTGTCATTGAAAGTCTTTAGCCTTGATAGTGTAATGGCACTTACAAATGTCACTGAAGTGCCACTAAGTCTTTTTTTAATGGCACTTGCTAGTGTCACAAATAGTGTCTATCATAACATCAAAGTGTCATTGAAGGTCTTTAGCCATAATGGTGTAGTTCCACTTGCAAGTGTCACTGAGGTGCCACTAGTATCTACTGTGGCACATGTATAAATGGCACTTGTTTAGTCCCTAAATGTTGTAGTGATCACTAATGTTCAATTTTTGTTGCCAAAAATATAATAACACCACTTTTCGCAACAAAAATATTTAGTCCCTAAAACATAATTTTGTCCCTAAATTTTAGTCTCTAAAACCTTAATTTTTTGTAGTGCCAACAACATTTTTATGATATATGTTTTGCATTTTGTTTGGGTAAATGTTACATATTTTTTCTAGTAGAATTACAAAAAAAAATCATGATTCAGATATAAAATTACACATTTTGTTGTAATGTTACATATTTTCTAGTTAGAAAATGTATAATTAAAAAAAAATGTGTAACATTGTCACAAAAAATACATAACAATATCACCAAATACGTAACTTTATTTTTGTACCACAAATTGTCGTAACTTTACCAAATAATTACGTAATTGTCGGCTTATTTTTCCTACGAAGGAAAATACCATAAATGTGAGCATGTCAGCAAGGATTGAAAAATCCTTACAGATTAAATTTAAGCCAATTATCAAACATTGTGTTGATGATTCTTTTGCCTCGATGAAGAAGACTTCAAAATTGCCAATTGTAAAGAAAAGAAAAATTAAAAGAATGAGGGAGACAGAGAAAGATGATTGAGTGAACAATCGGGGTGATTGAGTGAATAATCAAAGTAACAATTAATTACCTCTACTCCTATGCTTTGAAAAGGAAGTGCATTAAATTACTTCTACTCCTATGTTTCGAAAAGGAAGTGTTGAAAATAAAATGCAGGAAATATAAATGACAAGAATAAATCGAAATCAATTGTCTTTAATTTGAGTTTGATCCCTTTTACAATGTAGCCATGAGTGGCTATTTATAGGCAAACATTTGTAGGAAAAAAAAATACCTACGTTACCCTTACATCTCCCACATTTCACACTCCATGATCTTCCACTTCATCTCTATGTTTATATAACTTCCTTTAACCTTCAATTCATGCTCCATGTTCTCCACTTTGTCTTCCATCATTTTCACATATGTTTAATGATTCATAATTTCTCATAACCTCCAAATGAATAGGAGAGTGCCACATGTCCTACAATTATATAGATAATAACTAACAATAAAATTATTTATTTATGGTGCTAACATTACCCTCGCAACTCTTTCAGAATGAGGAACCTCAAATTCATGAAGAGTTGTACATCAATTCAGACCATATTTGACAATTAATTAATATATTCAAAGGGAGACACGCATTCGAAGGTTCTTTTAAACTGATTCAATTTTGTTATATAAATAAATAAATAAATAACCAAAACCTTGCTCCAAAAGTGCTCACAGCATATTTTAGAAGCTTTAAAAGAACAATGTTTAAAGATTATTGTTTTATTAGCCATTTCATCAAAATTAAATTTTGATGTAGCCCACAAATCCAAAATAGGTTTTGAACACCGAAAATCATGGCATAATAAAATCTTGGAAATTCAAATGCTTTGACATTTTCAACAATGTCAAATATTTTAAATCCATCAACAATGGGTTGATCACCATCTTTAATCATGTTTGGTCTAAGAACATGTTCTTTGGCCAAATAACTTTTATCATTCATTGACAAATTCGGCTTCCTTTTTTTTTTCTTTTTTCTTTTTTCTTTTTTTAAATTTTAGCCATCAATGGCTTATAAAACTCCTCCATAGACATGTTATTTCCATGGCTGGACTGTCTAAAAATGAGTTTTTCAACTCCCGAGCCTTATAGGGAACATCTTTTTTAACCATGTTTGGCTCAACAACAAGTTTTTAGCCATGTTATTTTCATAAGTTAGCTCTTTAAAAATGGGTTTTAATCCCCCGAGCCATTGATGAAATCAACTCTTTCCTTTTTCCATTTTCAACAATTCAAGAATTCTAAAAAAAGTTCACCAATTCCGGCCATTAAAGCCTCGGTTAAAGACTTGGTAGTGAGAGTTGACAACTCATCGTTCCATTGGCGAACTTCCTTATCAAGTTCATGAATTTCTCCAATTAAATCATGTCCTTTTTCTTTAACCAAATAATATTGTAATGTATGGAAGTTTGTTAATTCATCATGAAAATTGATCTCTTCTTGAATATCCAAATTTTTTTGTTTACGCCAAAAGATTCCATCTAAGCTATTTGGAATAAATGAATCCAATTCATTTTTCATTTCTTACACTTAACATCCCACTGGGCGTGCCAAAAAATTGTTGGCTTATTTTTCCTACGAAGGAAAATACCATAAATGTGAGCGTGCCAGCAAGGATTGAAAAATCATTATAGATTAAATTCAAGCCAATTATCAAGCAATTGTGTTAACGATTCTTTTGCCTCAATAAAGAGGACTTTAAAATTGCCAAGTGTAGGGAAAAGAAAAATTAAAAGAAGAATGAGGGAGACGGAGAGATGATTGAGTGAACAATCGGGGTGATTGAGTGAACAATCAAAGTAACAATTAATTACCTATACTCCTATGCCTTGAAAAGGAAGTTCATAAAATTACTTCTACTCCTATCCTTCGAAAAGGAAGTGTTAAAAATAAAGTGCAGGAAATATAAATGACAAGAAAAAATAGAAGTCGATTGTCTTTAATTTGAGTTTGATCCGTTTTACAATGTAACCATGAATGGCTATTTATAGGCAAACATTTGTAGGAAAAAAACTACCTAATAACTACCATATTCTTCCATCTCCCACACTTCACACTCCATGATCTTTCATTTCATCTCTATTTCTCCATAACTTCCTTTAACTTCCAATTCATGCTCCATGTTCTTCACTTTGTCCTCCATCATCTTTTTACATGTGTTTAATGATTCATAACTTCTCATAACCTCCAAATGAGTAAGAGAGTGCCACATATCCTACAATTATATAGATAATGACTAATAATAAAATTATTTATTTGTGGTGCTAACAATAATATTTACCACAAAAATACATAACATACACTATAAAAATACATAACAAGTACATATGGTACAATAATACTTTCTCTGTAGGGTCCATACTTGTTTTCTTATGTTCATGATCCCTTTCTCTCTTAATTGAAATCTAAGGAGATAACTTAAATCATAGAGAGGGGAGGCTGGACTCCGGTTCTTAGAAAACGAAAGTTGGGTAATTAAAGGTTTGTTTAATATTTTCAATAAGTTTGGTGTTGTCAAGGATGTATTCATTCCAATGAAAAGAAGGAAAGCAACAAGGACAAGATTTGGGTTTCTAAGGTGTGATTGCAAGGTGGCAACAGAGGTGGCAGTGCAGAAAGCAGATGGTTTATGGTGTGATAACAGCGTATTGAAAGTACAATTGATAGAGTATAGGAAATCGGAGCAGAATAAGAAGCTGGAAGTAAGCAAAAGGGATGGAAGTATGACAAAAAAGATGTAATGGAATCCCATACAACCTATGTTGGGGAACAAAGGTAAAACATATGCAGAGGTAGTTCAAAATGGAGGAATGAGTGACAAAGGAAAAGTGTCTATAAGAGCTTTCGAGGATGGCAATGGATGGTTGTATGATAGTATATTGGTAAAGCTTAAAGCATTTTGTTCTTTTCATGAATTTAGAAAGGAGTTACAGAAGAAGAAGGGAAATGAGGTGGTTACTAGAGAAGGGGAAGGGAGGTTAGCCATTTTAACCTTTCAGTCAAAACAACAGCTGAAAGAAGGAAGAGCAAGTATGCAGGAGTGGTTATCTGAATGGAGTGACCAGGTTTCAGAATGGAAAGAAAGGAAATTCATGAATCAAGAAAGGTGTGTCTGGATCACTTGTGTGGGTGTCCCTCCCAGTCTTTAGAGTGTTAAAACTTTTAGAGATACAGAAAATGTCTGGGGTGAGTGGTCCAGTATGATGAAGACACAATTGGGTGCAAGCATTTTATGTTTGGAAGAGTAAGGATCATCACAATGAAGATGAAGTTCATAAATACATTGATTAATCTTGAAGGAAATGAGAGCACTTATCCAGTGCAAGTGTATGAATAATTCCTACCTAGTATTTGCCAGTGCAAAGGTGATTATAGTTGCCAGGAAAATGCCGTAATGGAATCCAACATGCAAAAAGAGGCTGATCAGTGTTCCAAAAATGGGGGCATTGAGGAAGGTGAAGGCAAGGCTTCTACAAATACAGTGGAAGATAAAACTAGGAAGGAGGTAAATGCAGAGGCTACTGAAGATGGGGATGAAGAGAAAGGTAGTGAATCAGTAAAGGAAAAAGATGATGATAATGATGTGGGTACAAGTGATGAGGTGTCCAGCAAAGGAAACAACACAGTGGAAAGGGAGGCAAATGATGTAGAAAGAGGTAGTAATTGCATTTTAGATACAGTTGTTAAAGAATCTGTGTGTGCTATAGGAAACTCAAACGGTGGGGGCTGTTATAATGAGGAGGGGGTGGTACAGGTGAGTAGCTCAAGACAAGTGGTGGATAGGACAGTTCAAAGGGTAGATGATAAGGTTTGTACTCCTGGATTCATGAAAAGTTTAAATGGGCTGGACTGTGTTCGACCCAATATTAACTTAGAAGTTGTTTTAAATGGTGCCTAAATAAAGCCTATGGATACTAGGCCAAGATTGGAGCCTGATTCAACTCTTTATGATTATGTAGCCCAATTTGTACCTTTGAATGTAGTGGTAAATTCATCCCAAAGGGAGAAAAAAGAGAAAGGTGCTCCATCAAAGAGGGCTAGAGCTATCTTAAGAAGCCAAGCTGCTACAAAGGGAAAGGAAGATGATCAGTGAAAAGGAAGAAGGAGGAATGGTGCCTAGCTAAACCAAATGGGACTCCTGTCCAAGAATTGTTCAAAAAATGGGGCAATTTTTAGAGCAGTAGCTGCTGCTATCTCTCTATCGGTTTCCCAGAGTAGAAATTCAAGCAAAAGAATAAAATTACTTACTAAAGCTCAAGCCACAATGGAAGTAGCCAAACTTCTGGGGTTAAACTGTGAAGGGAAGGATGATAAAGTGGTGGAAAGAATAATTAACTTGGAGGAAAAAGATTTAGACAGAGTTGTAGGGAGGGGTTTGGTGACTTAAGCTGTCGAAAGCAAAAAGGAGGTTTGAAGTTGTAATGTGGGTTTCATGAAGCTGCTGTCATGGAATGTAAGGGGTCTTAAAAGACCTGAAAAAAGGGGTAAGATTAAAGTTGTGGTAAAGGAAAGGAAAGTAGATGTTTTGTTGATTTAAGAGTCGAAGAGAGGAAATATGGATGATAGTTTTGTACTATCACTGTGGCCATTAAAGGAAATGGGTTTTGTGGAGGTCGATGCTCAGGGCAATGCAGGTGGTCTGATTTGCATTTGAAATCTAGAAATTTTTGAGCTGATTGACAGTTGTAGCTCTAGGAATTTCATTTTTATGTCAAGTATTGCTTCCAAAAATTTCCATTGTGTTATTATTAATATCTATGCACCGAATGATGTATTGAAAAGGAAACACCTTTGGGAGAGTATTATCTAGCTTAAATCTTCTTATCCCAACGCGTGGTGTTTAGGAGGTGATTTTAATGAAATTAGATTTATAAGTGAAAGGAAGGGATGCTTAAGAAAGGATATGTGGGTGAAAGACTTTAATGATTTTATTAATAGATTGGAATTAAGTGATTCACCTATGCAAGGAAGATCATTCGCTTGGTGTAATGCAATGAAAGGAGACAAGTGGAGTAGGATTGATAGGTTTCTAGTTGACCATGTGTGGCTAGAGAGGTTTCAATTGAAACAATGGGGATTATCCAGATGTATATCTGATCACTGCCCAGTTCTGCTAATGGAGGATGAAAGGGATGGAGGTCCAAAACATTTTTGGTTTATTAATGCTTGGGAACTTCATCCAAAATTCAAGATAGAAGTGAAGAAATCTTGGGAGGAGTCTCAGCTTTTGGGCTGGGTCAGCTTTCGAATCATGTATAAATTGAGGATGTTGAGATCACAATTAGGAAAGTGGAGTAGGGAGGTATTCGGGAATATTGAAGATTAACTCAAGAAAGCTGAAGATGAATTGCATGAGTGGGATTTGAAAGCTGAAGTCAGGTCTCTGCTGGAGACAGAATTGGAAAGAAGAAGAGAGATTAGAAGTAAAGTGTGGAAGCTCAGTAGATATAAGGAGAGGATATGGTTACAAAAGTCAAGATTGACATGGGCACATAATAGTGATAAAAATACTCGATTGTTTCACTTGATGGCAAGTAGAAGGCAGAGGAAAAACTTATTAGGCTCAGTGAAGGTGAATGGTGTTGAGTTTGAAGATCCAACTATGGTGAGACAAGTAGTTGTGAATCATTTTGCTAGTGTGTTTACTGAAATTAGAAGTCTAGGCCTAAATTGTCAGGTCCATTTTTATCCATTAGTCTGACTGATTCAAAGGATGTTTTGGAGGCAAAGTTTAGTGAGGCAGAGATTTGGGTAGCATTAAAGATTACGATGGTAATAAGGCCCCTGGGCCTGATGGGTTCAATCTGTCTTGTATACAAAAATGCTGGTCTATCATGAAAGGTGAGTTTCTTCAATTTTTTAAGGAGTTTCACAGTAATGGAAAGATGGCTAAAGGGGTAAATAGTTCTTTCATCACTTTGATTCCTAAAAAGGAGAACCCCTCTGATTTGAGTGAATATAGACCTATTAGTTTGGTTAGCTCCGTTTACAAAGTGTTGGCTAAAGTGCTATGTACAAGGCTAAGACAAGTGCTACCCAAACTTATAGGAGAAGTTCAAACTGCTTTTCTTGGAGGAAGATGTATTCTTGATGGGGTGTTAATTGCAAATGAAGTGGTGGACTGGTGGAGGAAATCAAAGAAAAAAGGAATCATCCTTAAATCGGACTTCGAGAAGGTTTATGATTCAGTAAATTGGGAGTTCCTATCATCAATGATGGCGAATTTTGGTTTTTGTGAGAAATGGGTGGGGTGGATTAAGTCATGTATTTCTACATCAAGGATATCAGTGCTTGTTAATAGGTCACCCACTACAGAATTTTCTTCTCAAAAGGGATTAAGACAAGGTGATTTTCTCTCTCCTTTCCTCTTTAATATTGTGGCTGAAGGGTTAAACCTTTTACTGGATAAAGCAAAAGAAAAGTGGCTAATAAGAGGTGCTTCAGTTGGTCCAAAAGAGTTAAAGATTTCTCATTTGCAATTTGCGGATGACACAATCATTTTTTGCAAAGCTAAATAGAAGGAAATCATTATGATTAAAAGAATACTGAGGTGCTTTGAAGTAATGTCAAGGTTAAAGATTAATTTTCATAAAAGTATTGTATGTGGGATTGGTGTGGAGGAGATGAGGGTTATGGAGTTTGTCCAAAAACTAAATTGCCTTAGTTAGAAATTACCTCTTACTTATCTTGGACTACCTTTAGGTGCAAATACAAGGAGTAAAAGTACATGGCAGCCTATGGTGGAAAATTTTAAGAAGAAATTAGCATCATGGAAGAGGAAGTTCTTGTCCTTTGTTGGTAAATTGACCCTGATTAGATCAGTCTTCTCAAGACTACCTATGTTCTTTCTATCATTGTTTAAAATGCCTATGGGTGTTGCTAAAACAATTGACAAGATTTAGTCTAGTTTTTTGTGGGGTGATTCTGAGACTAGGAGGAAAATTTATATGGTAAGTTGGAAGGAGGTATGTAAAAGTAAAGCCCAAGGTGGGTTCGGTGTGAGACATCTGACTGATGTTAATGTTTGCTTATTATTAAAATGGTGGTGGAGGTATGGTAGAAAGCAACAGTCATTATGGAAACAGGTGGTGTGCAGTAAATATGGTGGATTTGGGGGCAGGTGGATTCCAGCAATAGTGGAATATGTTATGGTGTCATCCGTATGGAAAGGGATTGTATCATCTGTTTCATCAAATATTGTTGTGGCTTAGTTGTTTACACACAATTTAAAACTTATTGTAGGACATGGGGAGAGGATACAGTTTTGGAATGATAGGTGGTTTAATGGTAGAAGTCCGAGGAATGATTTTCCTTGATTGTTCAATCTTTCAATGGATAAGGAAGGTACATTGCAATTTTTCTATCACATGAAAGGGTAGGGCAGAGATTGGAAACTGGAGTTTAGAAGATCCCTCTTAGCTTGGGAGGAAAAGGAGGTTCAAAGACATGCTGAATTGTTATCAGAGGCACCTATTTTAAATCCTACTGCTGAGGATTCTTGTTTATGGCTGGCAAGCAATTTAGGCGAGTTCTCTATGGCTTCAGTATGGTAAAGAGTGGAGGCAGCTAAATGGCCAATGCTCAGCATTTCAAAGGTTTTGTGGAAAAATTCAGCACCTCCAAAGGTTCAGTTTTTTAGTTGGTTAGCTTGGAAAGGGAGAATAAAGTCTATAGAGTTAATGATAATGTTAGTTCTCTTTGTGTATTTTGCAAGGCAGAGGTGGAAACAGCTGATCATGTGTTGCTGTTATGCCCTTTGATCTGGAATGTATGGTCTGTCATGGTGAATTGGTGGGATGTAAGATGGGCAACACCAGGTTCTGTGGAGACTTTGCTGCACTGGTGGTCTGGAATGAAATGGAGGAAGAAGAAGTTGGAGATTTGGAAGGTTGTCCCTTTGGCTATGCTGTGGTCTATGTGGAAACTAAGGAACAACTGTCTATTTAAGAAAGGGCATGCTAATCTTATAGGATTGGGAGAGTTGGTGAAAGTCAGAATTGCTTTATGGGTTAAGTCTAATCTGAAGGGTATTAAATACTCAGTGCATGATATTGTTGCTAATTTGAAGCAGGTCAGAAATTGTTTGTAAGCCAATGGAGGAGGGTGCTGGTGTATTAGTCCTGATATGAGAATGTCCTTGTTGTGTGGCTGGTTGGTCTTTCTGTTTCTTTCTTTTTTTTTTTTTTTTTTTTTTTTTTTATGTATCTCTGTTTGTGGATTGGTGTCTCACCAATCTGTGGGTTTAGTGCTAACAGATGATTGTGCTTCCTCCTTGGTGCCAACTTAGTTGGGATCGTGGTGTATTAGCTATGATTCTTTTTTCACTTCCCTCTTTCATTGATGTAAATTGATGCTTGTACTTGTATGTTTTCATCAATAAAGTTTCCCTTTTTCTTTGCTGATAAAAAAAAAGTACATATGGTACAATAGTTCAAAAATAAATAAATAAAGTAGCATACACAACTTTTTGAGTGGTGCGTATTTTAGAATTTCTCTACTATAAATTCATATTTTTACTCAAAAAATTATTCAGAAAATTGAGGCTCATTGTGATATTCAATTTAAGATTTTAGAAAATTTTAAGTAGCTACTATATCAGAAAATTGAGTTCATCGCAAGGGCAATTAATATGATTTTACAGTATCAGAATAAAAACATCAGATATTACAAAAACATTGGATATTTTCCTTGAACAAAAGAAAAATCTTTGCTCCTACAACGCTAGAATCACATAAATTTGTGACCTAATGTTCGAAATCCTCTTTCTATTAACAAATGCAATTTTGTCATTGTCCTCGAGTGACTTACACAGTGGATTAGACTAATATCAAATACATTCAAAAAAAATTCGCTAATCACATAAAGAATATTTGCTTGTTGTAGGTCAATGTTCTTAATAAATGTAGGCATGCTTTTACTTACACTTTGGAAAATAGATTAAAAGTTGTCTTTTTAAATTTTTTTTTTACTTATTTTGAAAAAAACGTGCAAAAAAATAGAGAAGTTATGTGACCTAAAAATATCAAAAAGCCAAAAAACTGATTTTTAACCGTGTTAACAAAATTATTCGCAATTTTGTCGGTCAACTTTGTGTAAATGTTAAAACAGACTTTTATTTTTTTATTTTTTTATGTCACTCAATAGTCAATAAATTCATAATTTGATCTTCATAAAATTTTAGACTGCTAATTGAAGGGTGATTATTTGGTATTTTAGAAGTACGGTCACGTGGTACTTTGTTATAGTATGATTGGTTGAGAAAGTAGAGTATTAATTATTTGTATTCAGCGATTGAGAAACATGAGAAGATATAATGAATGGCGAATGATGATAGAGTATAAACACATGATATTTTTGGAATATGGTATAATTTTCCACATAGATGTAAATGATTTCATCATAATAATTTTAATAAAATATATGCAAAATATTTGTTATATTATCTTGAATCAACGGTGATGCGACCCCACGTGCAAACCAACTAGTTTTCGTAAAAAGGTTGGTAGCAAAATATGATGGTGACTCCCTTCCCAAATTAAACTCAAATTTCTATACTACGATTTATCTATCTAATTTCTATGACACATGTTCCATAAACAAACAAATACGTGTTAGGTACAATTAAAATTTGTATTATTTTTTAAATTAATTATAATTAGAATCACATTTTTGTTGACTATTGTGGAGGGTAAAATATTGACCCAAAACCTAGAAGTGTTGGCCCAAGGCTCAAATTCAAAGTCCAGCCAAGCAACCCGAATCAAAGGAAAAGCCCAAATCATTGATAGGTCCAATAGCGTCATGTGACCAACGCCTGAGTAAAATCACATTCTCGAATAAGATCTACAGAATCTTCAGAAATAGGAGCATAGGCCTGACCAACATAAACAACACAACCATCCGATGAACCTAATCGGACAGATAGAGCAATCGACAAGTTGGCCACTAAACGCCTGACATAATCTGAACCACACACAGTAAGATAATCCAACGGCAAAGGATCAAAGCAATCTGACCACTTGCCTGACCAAAGTCCGGCAGTAACCAGAGCCCTTAGATGAAGATCCTAATCCAACAGTCAAGGCCAAGACAATAATACAATAAAAGAAAGAATAAGGAAAAATAAAGGAGAAAATAAATTCTTTCTTCCTAAACAAATATTATATGGCTGATCATATTTCTGACTTGATCGTCAAAGAGTCCTTCCGACCATACTTGGTCGGGAGTGATCACTGACTAGTTGGTTTCTCTTTACAGAGTAAGCATCTCGTCTTGCATTCCCTGTTGAGATTCTTTCTGCCTTCTACAACTATAATAATGTGAATTATTATTGTAGTTAATAAAAAAATTATACATCTATGGCAATTGCACATTTGCAATTAAGAATAATCTAGAATAGTTGTATGTTGAGTTCAATTGATTTTTACACCATTTTTCAAATTGATTATATAGCATTAATCATGTTTGTGGACTATAATAATGTAAATTTTGTCTTAGATAAGAGAATGTTATACATATGTGGCTATTGCATATTTGCAATTAAGAATCATCGAGACGGGCTATGTGTTAGCTTCAATTGAATTTTTGTACCTTATTTATCTTTTTGATTAGCAAAAAGAGAAATTTTATTGATGAAATGAACATACATTGCATATGACACTACATCAATAAAGAAGATGGAAGAGTAAGGAGCATCATAACATTGCTCCCTAATTTCAATTAGGTTGACATTAAAAAGAACTCCCAATTATATGCTAGCTCAAGCCAAAAATTGGGGAGATACCAAAAAAAAACAAACAAACCAACAAACAAAAAAAAATTAGCTAAACAAACAACAAATCATAAGATGAGTTCACAAGCAAAACAGACAACCACAACTAATGGAAACACTACACCAATCAGCAGCAACAACTAAAATTCACTTCCACATCCCTTCATCCCAAGCTGCTAACCTGTAGCAGTGGCAAACTAGCTCAAACTGATTATATAACGTTAATCATGTTTATGTAATATAATAATGTGAATTGCAAAAAAAAAAAAAATAAAAGAAAAAAATTGTAAATATATGGCGATCACATATTTATGTAGAAGAGATTTTACTATAATTATTGCAAGCATTACAAGTTAGGCACATCATTATGAAAGATTTATAGTGAGTATATAAATAAGAGATCAAATCCACCTAAAAATTAGGCAAAAATATTGGAATTATCATTTTCCTGGTGGACGACAATGTACGGATGGATTCTCTTGGTTGAATTAATGTTGGGGGGCTTACACAAAGTCTCCCGAAAAAAAAAAAACACTACAAGTAAATCTTGATAGAGTAAAAAAAATTCAAATGTATGCAATTGATGAACCCGTAACATAATGTCTCTTATTGAAGTGTATGCGACTGATGTTGGATTACACAAGTTTAAAAATCCTAATGCAGAATATCGGTTGAGTGATTGTAGAAGAATTTATAGAGTTTGAAATCTTGCTTCAGACCATAATTTTAGCATTTTCTAACAACAAA